GTCATCACTTCGTACACGATTATTGGATGTACATTGTTTATTAGATGCACTTTGTGAAGACTTTAGCCTGTAAAGTTTTATTCTTTCAAAAAAGATATACAAATGTTGAAGACACACATTAATCTCACATACGGCTGATGGAAAGTCCGATCTTATGAAATTCTCCTCTCAAAAACAAAAAAAATTTTATCTTTGGGATTTTTCTCATTTTGCATTGAATTAGAATTTCATTTCTGATTTTAATGAAGTAGGCTAAAATGTGCACATGATTTCACATCTGTTTGTTCAATATTTATTAACGACATTGGTAATTTACTCCTTCATAGTGCTGTTGTCGGTAAAACTATTGCACCAAGGTTTCAGGTTTGAATGTTGAAAGTGGCTGTCATGGATTTTATCAATAAGTTTATCAATAACCCATTTCCTATAGTGAGTAGAGAAGGAGACAATGAGCAGACACGTCAAACAGTTGTAACTGTGGCATGATGCACGATGCAAAATGCCCCAAACATCTGGTCACAGAGTTTATTTATAGAGAGATGGGAGTGAGAGAGAGAGAGAGAGAGAGAGAGAGAGATTGTGTGTGTGTGTGTGTGTGTGTGTGTGTGTGTGTGTGTGTGTGTGTGTGTGTGTGTGTGTGTGTGTGTGTGTGTGTGTGTGTGTGTGGGAAGTCAAGAATGGGTGTGTGAGTGGCTTGTGAGTGAGCATGATCAAAGAGGCATAGAGCAATACATATTACATTCAGTTGATTGAGTCCATGATCAAGAATTAATAAACATAAATTTTTCCAGAACAGTGGCATTTCTGCACAGAGTAAACATGCGCTCCCCATGCATGAGTGTGTTTTCTTTGGATACTTCCTCCATCAGACCATAGCATGCATGCAAGGCCGGATTAACCCTATGGGCAACTGGGCAATTGCCCAGGGCCCCACAAACTCTAAAGGGCCCAGGCTCAGGGCAGCAAGAGCACGAGCAAAACACTGTATCTGTAATACTGTAATACTGTATTGATGAAAAAGTCCGGTTTTTCATCCAGGAGCGGGGATCGAATTATGGGAGAGCTGGATATCCTACATCCAGGGGATTCGGAAAAAATGTTTTCTAGCTATATTACATCATTCATGGACTCTTGAGCAGAGAGCACGGAGAGCGTCTACTCTCTGAGAGTCACGTGACGTCCGGAGCTCTACAGCGATGATCGTTGGTGTTCAGCGATCCAGGCAGCTGTGTCCAGCGCACGGTCCATTCTCAAAGTGGCGCAGCCAAAAAACTATAATGAACACACGATCGTTCATGTCCACAAATGTTCTCTACTTTCGGTCTTATTTGTGCCTGAAGCGCTCTGCTACTGCGGAGCTCATCACCTGTGCTGCGGTGATTTCACCTCACTGACGCAGCATCGAAACGCGCTCTCCTCTTTGTGGTCAGGAGATCCCTTTGATCTGCTTAAAAGTAACTGATGAGGTGAAAAAGTAAGAATCCAGGCAGCAGTTTTTCTGGAGAGTTTAGAGGAGATGCAGGAACATGAGAGACAGACAGGACAGGAAAAAAGTTAAATAAAAACAAGAAAACAATATAAAATGTAGGTAGATTTATCTCCACTACATGTTTTTACTTGTATAAAACAATAAGTTACACACATGTAAATTTATGCATCTGATACAATTCAGATCACCTTCAAAACTCTGTCACACACCCAGGGCCGTTTCAAGGCATTTTTTGGGCCAAGGCAAAATGCCCCCCCTAACTGGGCTCCCCAGAAGCCTCTGTGTAATCCATACCCTCTCCAGGAGTGTTAGTTATACAGTGTTTATAAAAGCCCCTCAGATATTACTGACATGTTCTAATGTTATCAGATGAAAAACTAAATGATCAGACATGCTGTCTCATCTGCTGCTTTTCCAAACTTGCAAAAAGAAACAAAACCACGTGAAAGCCGCTATTTGTGGATTCTCTGAAAGTTTCCATGGAGTGTGTGACACTTATTTTTTCATTGACCCTATCGTCTAATCTCACAGCTGAAACAAGTATCCTTAATAATCTGGGCACAGGAAGCTTACCGATGCTGTAGTAAAACAAAAGGTATGATAATTTATCATTAATAAAACCTTGTTGCAGCACTAAAGCAGAAAAATGAGATTTTGCAATAAGCATGCAAAATATTTACATATGAATTGTTTTAGAGCCATTTCATTGGCATAATCTGATATTAATGTAGTTCTTACAAAAAAATGGGTCCCATATGGGCCATAGTGTGACGTCATAGGCACAGATCTTCTGTCCTCTTTTTTGGAAATGGAAACATGGTCACCCTATATTAAACAAACTGTCCACCCGGGCTTTTGCACTGCACAGAGACGCTTCGCTGTCTATGACTTTGAACGTCAGTTGAGAGCGGTTGAGAGTCAGTCTCATGCAGATTGACCAATGAGGAGAGGGCCTCAAGTTAAGACCCTCTCCTCATTGGTCAGTCCACACGAGGTGTGTCAAAGGTTACCCTGAGCGGGTTACGTGATGTCAGGCATTCAAGTATTGAGTATATTTACTGCATATTACAGTAAAATATTCTGTATGTGACCATATTATGGTGATCCTTGGGTCATGATGATGGAGCCCTTGAATATTGTTGCCCAGGGTACAGCAAAGTGTTAATCTGGCTCCGCATGCATTTCAGGTCAATTAGTGACCCTAACTTGTCTCTAAGTATGAGTGAATGTGTGAATGGCTGTTAGTATTTGTGTGCCCCTGCACCAACACCCTCGTGACTCCTAGAGACACCAGTTTCCCATAATGAAGAAAAGCAGTTAGTATTTATTTCGGTGTTATGATAGATAGAAGTTTTTATTACCCACTTGTGTTGTGTAGACTGACATTTTACTAAAATAAATATTTATGGCCTCAGCTAAAGTCTGACCTCCTTATGTTGCTTGTAGGAAAACTTGATGCTGTTTTGTTTTGTTTCATGCTTGTTGGAACAGTTAACACATGTTTTGTTAAAATTGTACACTGCTCCAAAAATGAAAGGAACACAAAAATAAGACATCCTAGATCTGAATTAATGAAATAGTTTTATTAAATACTTTTTTTTACATAGATGAATGTGTTGACAACACAATCACACAAAAATTATCAATGAAAATTAAATGCATCAACCCATGGAGGTCTGGATTTGGAGTTACACTCTAAACTAAAGTGGAAACCACACAACAGGGTGATCCAACTTTGATGTCCAGAAAAGTGCAGTTCTAGGAACAGCTAAGATTCTGAGCAGAACCTTCAGGCTCCCGGGCCTCTGGTAGAGGACCTACGCTAGGAAGAATGAGACCACCTGTGGAGGGTGAGATGGGAATTTTGTTTTGTACTTTTACCTGCAAGTTTACAAGTTTCTATAAATCAACAATGAGTACAGTTTTGTAAAATAAAGATCATTCAGTTTTGCATAAAATAGTCCTTTTCACTCCGGTGTTTGGCAAGTCTGGACTGCCACTGCGTGTGGACCAAAATGTCAGCTCAAAAGTAGATCTGGCCTTGAATAAGAAAGATGCAATTCACTTTTTTTTAACAAAAGAATTAATCTCCGTGTTTTGAGTGATAACATGAGCTCTCCTGTGTTTTGTTTCTGTGTGTAAAAAGCATCAGAATGTGGACGTGTGTTTATCTGAGCCAGGGCTTAAGCAATGGAAGCATCTGTCCACACAGACCTGGCTGTGTTCCTGCTGCAGGTCAGTCTGGCTGTTTGGACATGGAGTGTGTGTGCATGTGCATATGCGTGGGTGTGCGTGTGTGGCTTGTTGTCTGTGGAGTGTATTTGTCTGTAACAGGCACAGAAACACACAAATCCAGCAGGCAGCTGAACTGAAACAGCAGAGGAGACCCTTTGTGGTGTTAACAAGAGTTGTGATCATTTATCTAATATTTTGTGCAGCTCTGTGTGCAGTTGGAAGAATTTGCATAGTGTCTGGAAACATTGAGAAAAATGGAAAATCCTTTTTGCATCCATAAAGTCTGTGAGGAGAATGTAAGTCAGAGGTGGGGATGGTCGGATGTAGGGAGGTGTATCACTTACACACAGAGTAAGAGATGGATGAGCGGAGACAGAAAGCTGTCGATGATAAAGGAAAGAGTAAAATATGGATACGTTACACAATTACTTATCCATCACTTGGTGGGCTAGAGAGACAGAGATGTTGTGGCTAGTGTTGCACCGGTGTGTAATGTCAGGCTATGTAATATAATGTGCGCCAGCACATGCTGCTGCTCAGATGGGGGAGAAAGTTGGAATGTCTTGTGGAAAAGAGGATTCTGATGGAAACCCTATAAAAATGGCAACAGAGAAGAAGGAAAAACAAATATGAGTACTTCTGAGGATGAGAGGAAAGTAAGAGATGTACGGGGTTGGAAAAACAATTAAAATTGAGGAAGAAAAGAGGAGGGTGGAGTAGAAGAGCAGCTGAGAAAAAAAAGGAAGGAAAGGGAGTTAAAAGAGCTTAAGAGGGAGGGAGGAATGAGGTGTGATTGTGGGAGGGAGTGGAGGAAACAGACTGGTGGATGAGAATAAGACAAAGGAAAGAGAGTAGAGTGATGGGGATCTGTCAGAAGGCTGGCTTGGGATGAAGAAACTAACAGATGCACATGGATGAGAGGTCTCAGCAGGGGAAGGCATGAGAGTAACAGGGAGTAACACAGGGTTTTAGTAGAGGTGAAGAGAAGAGAAGAGAAGAGAAGAGAAGAGAAGAGAAGAGAAGAGAAGAGAAGAGAAGAGAAGAGAAGAGAAGAGAAGAGAAGAGAAGAGGAGTGTGAGATTAAGGATAGAGGAAGAGTGATCGACTGGTGGAGAAGAGGGAGGAGAACAGAGCTGGATGAGAGAGAGGAGGGAGGCCGTCTTGTACAGCACACGCATGGATCTCGTGTTAGAACCAGAGAGGCAGAGAGAGGAAGGGAGGGGAGGGTGGGAGGAGAGAGGGAAACACGGGGAGGGGGGGAGGTATTTAAACACAGGAACAGGACAACACAGGCGAAGCTCCGAACTCCTCAAGAGTGGAGGTAGGATAGGGAGAGGAAGCAGAAGAACAGTTTTCCTGATGACCGAGCCCACACACTGACACATCTCACAAAACACACACACTCACACACACACACACTTTTGGACTTCGACTCATCTGTGGACTTCACCACCTGTCCTCTGGAGTTCAACCTGTGCCTTCCTTGCTGCCAGTCATCATCTCCAGCTCTACTCCCTCAGTCCCACCCCCCTTTCCTCCACGCTCAGTGAGGGCTAATGGCCATGGTGCGGGCCTCTCTTTGGGGTCTTCTGGGCTGTGGCTTGCTTTCCTTGACACTTGGGAGCAGCAATGTGGATTTCGGGGCGCCCCCTGCGAGCTTCTACCCCCGTTTTAACCCTTTCTTCTTCCTGTGCACCCATCATGGGGAGTTGGAGGGTGTCGGGGTGGGAGAAGGTGGGGGAGAGGTGCTGCTCACCCTCCAGATCACAGGCAACCCCACCACCTACACCCCTGGACAGGAGTATCAAGGTGAGCGTGCCTTCTATCATCTCCACTTCTTTTCTCATGCATGCACCCTGAAAAGAAATCTGTTTCTGAAGCAAACTGGTTTAACAAAAAGAGTTTTTTTTTTCATTTAGCTCAATTTGAAAGTGAATTTTATTTTAATTTTTATTATTATACGGATGTGTTTTTGCAGAGAATGGAATAATGTTTTAGGTAAAAGAAAAGTTTTTGTCGTGTGCTGTTCCTGTGTGGTTCAGATGATAAACAGTATTTATGTGAGTGATATGAGACGATGCTTCATGGGACTCCTCTGGTTCTGCTGCTTACTCTGTATGTGGCTTCTCACACCAAAAGCAGCGCTAAACCTCCAACTGAACCACTGAGTAAAAGTTGAGAGTGAAACTGAACAATTCACAGAAGAAAGATAAATTGACAGATAGCAATCAATTTAAAAAATTGTAAAACAAGATTATTGTTGCCTTTCTCACATTTAATGCTTCTGTTTGGCTCTGAGAAATAAAATGTGCCTCCCAAACTGAGCTCACTGGCTTCTGTTACACGCTTGACTCTGGAGACAGTGACCCAAACGGGCCACCGCTGGCCGACTGAGGTCACATTCCCATGCAGCTCCCCTTCTCGGGTGTCATAAATTCATTTTAACAATTCATCTGAATATAAATACGCATTTTATACGTTACTCCACTCATTTCCTGATAGAATCCAGCAAGCAACAGATTTATTACAGATTGTTTATTGTGGATTTCTGCTTTCTGTCATCATTTAAAAAAAGGCAAATGTTCAGCAGCGTTTGTGCAATTGTATACAGAAAGAAGAGGATATGTAAAGGTCAGTAAAACAGAGCAGGAAGCGAGACATGTCTGGAAGAAGCTGAATTATTGTCTGTCTGACGAAAAACGGTCCGGATCAACCCCTTCAGTCAAACACCTTTTAACTGGGGCTCGCGTACGAGGAGAGATTTTAGTAAGTAGCTGGTGGATGGGAGGGATGGAGCAGAGAGGTTTAGATAATTAGCATTAGAAATGTGCTGGACCGGGAGGAGTGAGAGATTTAAATAGGGCCGTGGCTGGGATTGAATGGTGTGTGTGTGTGTGTGGGTGTGGGGGGGGGGGGTTAAATGATGATGAGAGGATTGAGCAGATAAGATACCAGCAGCGAGGCTCGTATTAAAAAAAATGACAGGCTTCCAAGCTGCTCACATTTCCCTCCAGCTCGTGTTTTGTCACATGAGTGCAGGTCATTGTCAGAATCCTGAAATTCTCACCGACTCTGTGGGGGTGGATGGAGAAAGTGAAATTCTGACTGCGGAGTCAGAAATAATCTTGTAAGAATGGATGTAAACACCAAGGTTACACCCACTGTCGTGTGTTCTCTCTTTGGCACAACAGAGCTGTTTGAGGGCAACGCAAACAGAAAGAGGTTCAGTGGAAAAGGGAAATTACACGTTCTGCTCATGTGATTGAGCAGCATTCTGTAATTGTCCTGTTTCTGTAAACACGCTTTCTCCATTCGGGTATCCCCTTTCCCTAATCTCTAATCTGAATAATTATGCACTCTCTGAACCTCAGTTTTGGATTACATTTGCTTTAATCTTCTAAGGGCAATGTGAGACGTAATCGGTGGCAGAGCTGCGTGCGGAAAAGCTGCGTGCTGCTGAAAGGCAATGAAAAAGTCAAAAGTAAAACCAATGTAAGAAGACTCCAAAGGAGAATTTGTGTTAGAGAAGTCAGAAGGAGTAAAGAGGCAGGTGACCCCGTGAAGAAAAACCCAGTGTCTTAAAGAATCACCGAGAATCATCGCTGTGAATCAGGAGGAAGAGTTTGAGCGGACACACAGTAATTGATTTTCTGACCTGACCTCACCGCCTCTTGCTTCTCTGTTGCTTTACAGAGATAAGTCGGTGTGTGGGCAGCCTACACTCTGTGTGCACGCCGCAGACGTGATTGCTGCATTTAGTTATCAGATTGAAATGACCAAGAGCGGCTGTGTTACTCACACTGAAATATTTGAGAAGGTGGGAGGATTGGCAGGGGTCACGGTGGACGAAATGGAAATGGAAATCCTGCAGAGACTTGCTGAACTGTTGGAGAAGCGAGGAGGGAGGAATAAAAAGGATTTGTGGAGTTGCATTCAGGCTCTGGGGTCGGTCCATAAAAACATGAGTTAATAAAGCACATGCTGCCCACCTAGCGTTCAGAGTTGATGCAAAGAGAAAAGGAAGTGAAACCTGACTTTTTTTCAGAAAGGCTAAAATATCTTTTTCTCTTGAATGTTTGACCTCTTTTAACTCCAACGTGGGAATGTGAGCCGGTCCCCGCACAGCGACCACATGTTTATAAGAAGCAACTTCAGAATACAAAACCCAGAGCCTCATGTCTAAACACGGTGCATCGCGGAGCGCTGCTCCTCGTTCCTCTTCCTCTTGTCTCTCGTCCCAGAGCAACAGAAATGTTCATTCTTGCATGTTCGTTTTCACAGACGAGCAACGGCGTTCCAACGGGATGGTGACGCAGCAGTGGGAGGCAGCACGGTTTAGAAACATAAAACATGGCCTTGTCAAACCAGCTGTAGGAACATTGTTCCGCTGTAACATGCAGGAGAAACGTCTGCAGGAGGAAGTGTAGGGGGAAATAAATGGAAATAACCAGAGGTGTATATAAGAACAGTCCCAGGGAGACAAACTGAGCAGTTAATGTTTTTATATAATTGTTTCTGCATCTGTTGTTAATTTATTTAGTTTTCGCATAAATAAATGATCAGGTTTAGGTTTTAATGGTCCTTTTCTACTTTGATTAAGAGATGCCATAGTCACAGAATACACATTTGCAGTTTGAGCCAAAATTACTTAAAGATGCTTAAGTTTGTCTCTCTAAATGTTATAAATAAATCAAATCTTCTTTACTGTGAGCAGTATTTTGAACAGACTTTGTTGGGAAAAATAGAGATTTAATTTTTAAAATGAATGGCGAGTGCATCTGATTACTGCTGTTTTAAAACAGCCTTTGCATTAAACAGTGAATGGATTTTCAGATGGGTTTGATTGGTTATTCACAAGCGTAAGTACCACGAGAGGCAGCTCGGCATTGCACTGTTGGTGTATCCAAGGTTGAAGAATATGAGTCTCAAAGCTTTAAATTGACTTTTTAAAAATGTAATTAATGAGATTCATTTGAGACGTTCAGGAGATCAGCTGCTTTGAGCTGTTGAGGTAAAAAGATATATCTAAAGTTAATCAATTCTATTTAAAAAATGCCCAAATCTGAAAAATCCCACAAAAACTGAACGTATGGTGAATCTTGAAAAATCTGAATGTGGCGCAAAAGTAAATTTTCAGCCTAAAAGGTGGAACTAATACATGAGACAGACTCATTACATGCAAAGCCACTTAATTCAAACCTTCATTAGTTATGATTGTGATGATTATGGCTTACAGCTTATGAAAACCCCAAAGTGTCACACTCTCATCAGGTAATGAATCCAAAACACCTGCAAACAGTTCCTGAGCCTTTAGATGGTCTCTCAGTCTAAGTCAATGTCGTGTTACTGAAATAAATGAACTTGTGTCACCTGCTGTGAAGAACAATAAATGAACCTTCAGTTTTGCATTTAAATGGTTATTCTGACAGAAATTAGTAATACATAAGATGTTATAAATTCATAAATTTTTCGCAGAATTAAATGGAAAAAAATTCTCCTAGTGTTGTTTGACTGGACTGTTGCACGTCTGTGGTCAATGGTTTCTAGAGCAGTAACTGTTGCACAGGCATTTTCACAGAAAAATGACAGAAGAGGCCAAAGAAACATTAAGTGTTTCAAGGAGATTTAGACAGGACCACTAAATGGCATTTGTAACAGGACCGCAGAGATAAATTCCACCTCTGAGAGAAGGCGCTCAGCTCATCCCATGATAACCTATCAGATTAGACCATGTGAATTACTTCAGCAGCTCTCCTGGCAGCCAGCAGAAACAAGTCCATGTGTCTTGCAAAGTGAGAGGCCATTATCTATCTGTAGAGTTGATTACTTGTCATGGATGGGGATTTTTTTTCCCCTCTTCCTCTAAGCGTGCTGGTGATTTATGCTGGTAGAACAACAAGCAAGCTAAATGTTGTAGTGAAGGTCAAGGCACGGCGTGAATGTGGCTGCAAACGTTTCTAGAGGCAGGTGTTAATAACAGAAGATGTCCCGGAAACTCTGGTTCCATTTTTATTCTGCCTTCAGCAGCTATCCAGATGTCGCCATCACCTTCTGCAGCATTTACCCTCGGAGGCTGTTGAGTGTTTGCTGTATGAACTCTGACCGTTTCTTGTCAGACCTACATTGTTCAGAGCTCTGTTACTGAGATAAGATTGAGTTGGTGTAACTTTTCCACAGTTCAGTATCTGTTTACCTACTTGTAACTGTTTGTTTCGATCTATTTAAAAGGCCAGAAAAATATGCAGTATTTCTAGTGGTGCAGCGGTTAGTGAACCATCCAAAAAATGTCCTAGTTTTTATGGAAACATGTAAACATGGGGGAGTCTGAGGAGAGAGTCAAAGGGCTAATGGTAAAATATGGCTCCCATGTGAGAAAGGGGGAAACAGCAGCACTTTGAAGAGGTTCAAACCTGCGCATTCATTAGCTTCTCTGCCTCCCGTAGCTTTGTCTGAAGAGGTCACTTCACAGAGTAGAGAAGTGTGTCAAGTGCAACGCTGTTTGTGTGGTCTTTCTGGGTGTCTTTGTGGACACTGAATGATGAACTGGTTAGAGACCCATTGTTTTCCCAGAGATGTGCCAGTTTCCTCTCTATCAAAGGAGCAGCTGGGCGAGAAATGAGAATGGATATTCAGTTGAGATCTTCCCTTTGTCACACATGCATGCTTGGCCATGTGCACAGCACTCAGCTCTCTGCTGGTGATCCATCATGACACGAAGACAGGTCAGATGTTCCGCTGGCTAAACACAAACGTCCTGTTCAGCAGGCTGCTGCAATTGTTTCTGTCAATGTAAAGACCAAAACACGATC